AGGATTCCCTAAATCAAGCACTTGCTTTTAAGTACCAGAATTTTTTGTCTCGACGTAAATTTAATTTAATGTGTAAAACACAGTCTTCTGTGTTTGATCCTGATGCTGAAGTATGGTTACCACGAAATATGAAGTGCTTAGGGGTAGATGTTGAGTTGTCGCTTAGTCGAGTGTCTGATGACAAAATTGATAAATTTGTAAAATCATTAGATATAGGTAGTATTACTCAAATTCCAAATGCACCTGGGGTCACTAGGACCATCACTGGCCTTGTATTCATGATTATTGATTTGCATTTACGATTGCCACATCTTTTTCGGCAACTTATTTGGTTCAATGAAAATACCAATCATTTCATTTTCCAGTTTTCTGATGATGGTGCCCCTGAAACAAGCCAGCTCACAATGTCAATAGGCAGTATAACATTGTGGAATTTTGGGGAAAGGGTTAGAAGTAGGGAATTTCAGTACCTACTTCATTGTGTCAGCCTTGGCGAAAAGCATGCAATGCTTGAGCTTCTTTGGAGACAACATACTGATGAGATGCAGCTACTTGAGTCCAGTGTTTTTACAGTTTGTGGGAAGGAGTGCACAGTTGAGTTTCAGCCAAGTGCTGACATGAGTTGGCAAAGTTGGGCCTGCAATGAACTGAACCAGGCAGCTACACACCCTTGTCCCTATGCAAATGTGCACAAAAATAATATGTGTATTCTAGGTGGCACAATTGGTCTCGATCACAATGATACTTGGACACCGTACACAAACGACCTGCGTGCTGAGCATACAAAGAAGCTAAATGTTTTTATTAGTTCTCTAGCTACTAATATTAAAAGCACTACTCGTCATGAGAAAATGCTTGCTTTTATGGCTGAAAATGGGATGCGCCAACTTGGGACACCTAGAATTGGGGTGTTTGCGGAAAGAGTTCGACCAGATCCACTGCATTGTGAAATTAATGCATGGCAGCATTTATTAGATTTAATTTACTGTGAATGTGTGAAGCGCAACAGTTTCCAGCAGTTCATTAAAATATTATCAGCTCCTGTTGGTCTTGAACATAGTAATCATTTGGAAACTTTGGATCAGATTACAAACCCAGATGATTTAAATAATTCTATGTCAGAAGACACATTAACTTTGTCTGAGATTGCTATACCAGAGCATATAAACCTTTTAGAGGAACAAGCTACAGCCAATTTATCTGCGGCACTTAAAAGTAAGGCTGCCACACTAGATTCATCTGCAGACAAAGTGTATGGATGCGGTCTGGCATACTTAGCATCTAAAATTAAGGAGCATTACAGTGTCGAAGCTAAAAGGTCAAACAAATTGCCAACTCGATTGATAGGTAGTCAAGCTGTGAGCCTTTCTAGGCATGGCTACAGACTTGTTGATGCCTTGCAATATGATGAAGAAAGTCCTTTAGAGAATACCAAACGATTGGCACTTTCAAAAGCAGTGGAATATTTAAGAAATGCCAGCGGATTGTTTAACAAAATTAATTTAAGTTCCATTGGAGAAGTTGATCAACTGACTGAATTCTGTGAACTTTATTTTAATATTCTTGTTCTTTTTTTCCCCACAAGTATTAATGTTACTGTCTGGACAGTGGGGTATGCCATACCTTATCATGCCAGAAAATTGTACGAAGAATACCATATTGGTTATGGTATTTTGTCACTTCAAGCGAAGGAATCAAAACATGCTGGCATTAAAGGTGATCTTTCTTTAACCAACAGGTCAAATGAAAGTAGCACTAATGGCAAGTGGTGGCAAGTTTTGCGCTCAAATTATGTTAGGTCATTCTATCTTCCTGAACACCAACCTGCACCTCCATCATATATTTCTCATTTTAAGTCGCGTACACCACCACACTGCAGTAGGGTCGATTATTGTGCTTGTGGAAGAACTAAATTAGATATTGTGGATGAGCAGTGTGGGGTTTGCAAAGCTGCTAAAACTATTGTAATTAAATGTGCTAAAGAAAAGAAGTTATCTAATGAAGTAATTTTCTTATTTAAGCCTATCATTTGCAGTAAATGCAATGAACGCTTTTCTGATGTGACCAATTTGAAAGCACACACTGATATTGTTCATCGCTCTCAGACTCTTGCTACTGAGAGCACTAGACCTTCTCACTCACTTATAAAGACTCGATTAAAAAGTATGAGTGTTACAGAGTTGAAGTCGGCCCTGAGGGAAAAAGGCCTATCCACCTCTGGTAACAAGGAAATTTTAGTTCGAAGGCTGGAAAGTGTACTGCCAAATGCGAAGTAAAACTGTGAAATGGGCCACTGGGCCATATCAGTTTAATGAACAATGCCTTCAGTAGTTCAGTGGTGGGATGTGCCAGTACTCAGTAGAGTCAAAGTATATTGCTGGCTATAGTAGCTAGGTGATTTAACTACCTGAAGGACCTAAATGCTGAGAATGTTATTTTGTGTGTGTTATGGTGCTAGGTACTGAGGTGAATATAATGTTTTTGATGTTACTCTGAGTGTATATCCACACCGGGCAGGCTAAAAAGTTAGCCTGTCCACGGTGGGAATCGAACCCGCGACCTTTGGGATACTAGTCAAATGCTCTGCCAACTGAGCTACGGGCCAAGTCTGTTTGAGTGTGTGGTATTTCGAAACTAAGTCTACCACCTTCGATACCAATGTGTTTTATGATATGATATTTTGTGTGTTTTGGTGTTATGTACTCTGGTGAATATAATGTTTTTGATGTTACTCTGAGTGTATATCCACACCGGGCAGGCTGAAAAGTTAGCCTGTCCAGGGTGGAAATCGAACCCGCAACCTTTGGGATACTAGTCCAATGCTCTGCCAACTGAGCTACGAGGCCAAGGTTATACAACTATCTGAAAATAGGAAAATAATATCTTTGCTTTTTGAGCGATGCCCTTTGAGAATTCATAAATGCCAGGTCATTTCTTTCTGGAAAGTGTAACCCTTAAACCTTATTACTCAAATCTGCAGTATCGGCCTTGACATATTAGGTTGGTGGCTATTTTAGAAAGGGTTTCTATCATCAGAAAACTGGTTATAATGTTTTGGCAATTCCATTTTTTAGATTGGTATTTGAGTTATTCCAAATGATTTTTAAACCAAATTAAAACTTTTTATGTAACACAGTGAGATCAGTTCAATTTCACCATGATAAAATGGCAGTGTTTATTTTACCATGATGTTATTTCTTATCAAAATGTTTACTTTTAACAATAAAATCAATTGATTCAAGTGAGTCAATTCCAGAATGGATTATGGTAAAATCAACATCATTTATCTCTATGTGTGTGTTCCTGGGCAGAATGCTGAGGAAATACTGGGTACAAAGTTGACCTGGTTATCATTCTACTGTGGCTTTTATTCATGCAAATTAAAAATCAAATATATAGAAATCTAGTTGATGCCTTTTTGCAACTCAATTTTTCCAAACCAACTGTTGTATATAAGCAGCTTCTGTAAAAAAGATGGTATATACAAACCGTGCAAGAGGTCTTTATCAGATTTAAAACACAAAAGTTTTTGCTTTGATAGTGACTGACATGCCGCCAAGTTTGTACTTCAAAATGGACACATATTTTGTGTGGAAGTCTCCTTAGTTGCAAGTCCCATGAGTTTCTACTCTGCTTATGAATGATTGAATTTTGCTTATGAATTATTATATTTGCTCTGTATATAAATTTTGACAGTTTAATTCATTAAAGGTGCATGTGCTATATTCGGATACAAGCGCATGCGCCTTTGTCTGCAGTTCGCTTATATACAGGGCAATGGGGTATTTAGTTCTATATTGTAAATATGCTGACTCTTTGAATAATGAAAATCATATTCACTGTAAATATTATATTTATAATGATTAATATTCATGTTAAGATATTAATACAGATATATATGTATATATATATATATATATATATATATATATATATATATTAAGAATATATTTTGTTATAATATATTGTCTAAAATAGTTTTCTATATTGTTTCTATACTGAATTTTTTAATAATAGAATGGCAAATTATTTATTATAATATTTAATTTTCAATATTTCATGCTAGAATTATGTTCCAAATTATATATTTAAAATTTATAAAAAACAAAATGTTTATTGACTATTATTGTTCAGTTCTTGCATTTTTGTTGCAAATGAGAATGAGTTGACCCACAAAGATCAATACACACACACATATTTGGGGGAATTTGTGCTATCCGTGGAAGTATGTTTTTGATAACAGTTGCATGAATCTACTAAGGCATCCAAAAAGTAAATTTTCATGTGTGCGGAGTCAATCTTTTCAGAATATACCCTGTTATTCTATTCTAATGTTTTCTATACAACTAATTAATCCCAAACTGCATCTTGGAGTGGCAGGACTCTCCACTTGATGAGTAAAATTGTCTGGCGTTAGACAGAGTAAAGTGCTGAAAGGGTTAATTTGTTATTTAATCTGTCTAACACTAAATGATTCTAGCTGGTTTAATTTGGCAGATCTGGAAATACTGGTCTTGCGGCACAATTGCTTCTTTGCAATTTAGCGATCAATGCTATCTTGGTTGATTTTTCAAATACAGATGACAACCATAAACAATGTACATTCTTCATTGTTTTTATATTTGGCCAGAAACTGTAATTTATGCATTCATAAGCTGTTTTCAAAGCAAGTGCAAACCAGAAAATATTATATTTCACTATAAACTTTAAAATCAACCAAGATGGCACCCAATGAGCATGCGACATCTCATGCGAACAAACAATATTTTTGTACCATATATATTATTGGATATTTTATTGCAATGCCAATGGCGACTGGTGGTATTAAAATATTGTAGATAAAGGCCTTTGTACACAAATTGTTTGTGTGTATGAAATTTCAAGACTACGGGCCCGATTACATGGAGCATTTTCAACCCCGGGGTTGAACTCAGCCCTGTTTACCGGGTTGAAATTTCAGCCCTGTCTGTAATACAAAACTCTATCAAAATCAAATGCACAATTACATGACAAAATTTTCAACCCAGGGCTGAGTTCAACTCAGCCCTGGGTTGAAAATTTTGTCATGTAATCGTTTCAACCCAGGGCTGAAATTATCATGAGTTATTCGAGCATACGTGGTAGTGATTATTTATTACAAGAAAACAAAATAAAGGCTTAACCCGGTAAACAGGGCTGAGTTCAACCCCGGGGTTGAAAGTTCTCCATGTAATCGGCCCCTAAATGGTCTAAACAAAACACTGTAACAAATCAAAGAAAATGGAAGGAATAAAAATTGAACTTGAAGCAGGAGTAATTACTGACCACATTCATTCATAGGGCTATTATGTGCATTTTAATTGGCTCTCTTGGTCTAAAGTTTAGATGAAAACCTGTGCTCAATAAAATGCACATAAAAGATTATTTATATTGTGACTATTTATATCAGACTGCTACTACCTCTATGCACCTACCAATTTTAAACTCCAGAGGTGTTGCTACAGTATGTAAATTGCCTTCTATAAAAATGGTTATTTATATATAAATTCCACAACTGTGTTTAAAATTAGTAGGTGCATGTAAGTTATCAGATCTATTCTACTTGATTACTGTTTAATAATGCTTGAAGTGTAGCGTCCAAAGAGAAATCGTCCTTGTCGTACCTTTGCACGTAAAATAGAATGGTCAGCTTCTCCTGCTTCGTATTATAATCAAAAATAATTGGAGTCGTGCTGGTCACAACAACAGCAGCTCTTCCAGAATATTTGTAGATATTCCTTCCATTTTCCCTGACCTTGTCAAAGTGTCTTTTTCTTAATAGATTGTCGCCTTTACATCTCACGGGAGAAAATACCTTCCCAGCATTATCGCTATTGGTAATCTCAACCAGCATTCGATTTTTCTTTAATAAAGACAACGAGCCGCCGTACCCAACAACAATATTGCAAACATGCCGAAAAATAGTATACGGCACAAACAGCTTTATTGGCGGCATCAGACCAGTATTTCTGGATCTTCCAAGCTTGGCGAACATCCCTTTCCCAATCTCGGTTAAGTAGCCATCAATAAGGGGCCCGACCATTTCTAATTTGTATGATGCACGCTCTTCTAATATAGGATCGAGATTCCGCATCCCCAAGTTTGGCTTGTTCTGGCATTTCCACACGGCGTCCAGCCACAAACGTTCAACCCCGAACTTCAACTCAACTGTCGAGGCATTCCAAAAGCGCTCAGATCTTTCGGTTTCCTCGCCAGAAGAGCCAAGTTTCAGGTTGGAAAAACACTGCGTGAAATCACTGCTAGCTGCCGCCATGTTGCTCGTATGAATGAATATTTTGGAATTTGGAGGGAAATGGCAATAACCGCTGCGCCAATCGCGCCCGCGCTTCCGGGAGCAAACTGCATAGCAACCAACCATCGTGCTGGTACGAATACTACAAGACTAAGTCACACACTCGAGCTAAGTCATATATACATCCACTCATGCATGTGTAATCAGTTATGTGTCAACAAAATGCTCGCACGCTAATTTAACGTACAAGCATTAAAAAATTGACTCACATTTCCATTCGAATCAATAAAGATAGATGCTGCTCGCAGATTTTGATGTATGAATCTCCTATTGTGCAGAAACAACACGGCCTCCCCAATTTGTGATAGATATGTAATAGCATCTTCTACAGGACATCCAAATGACTTGATAAATTCTTCCAAGGTTCCCATATCACCAACTTCTGTAATCTTAAAAATAATACGCGTTCATTTAGTAACACAATTGGCACATATATAATGATTTAATTGACAGAACCCCTAAGCGTGCGACTTTTTTTACCACAAGGACGCCAATTGGAAGTCAATCGAGTCGTTATGTATACGCAAAAATCTTTTATCTTGTAACAAGTCTTCCAACAAGCCGTCAACAAGTTGTGTTCGCACTGCTTGTCTCAATTTGTCAACAAGTTTGGAACAAGCTGTTTAACAACTTATAACAACCATAATCGTTGATATAATCAGACTTGTTGCAAGGTTGTTCCAACAAGTCCGATGCAGTTATGAAATAACAATATTTATTATATTCATTCTGAAATCACGCGCGATTCGAGCAATCTGATTGGATAAGAAAAGTGTGATGACGGCCCAAATTGCACTATTTTAGAGCTGTCATCGCACTATTTTGAGCTTTGCTTGCATCAGTATGAGTGGTAATCGCATAATTTTTTAAACCAATCATATTGAAGTGGTGATCTTAGCTAGCCAATCAAAGTAAAGTTTAGAATCATTTTATAGCCTGTCAATTTTAAGAAAAATTTGATCTGGCAAATTGGGTAAAATAAAAAAATCAGAGTATTGCCAATATGATGGCCAATCTTTTGCATATAAAAACTGTTAAACAATGCACAAATGATTATGGACATATTAGGAAAAAATCTTTGTGAAACATGGCGAAAATACCAACAAAAAGCAACTTGATAAAGCGACAGGAAGAAAAACAAACAAGATAATATCCGTACATCGTATAACTTGTTGATGTCGTTTGAATGAACAAACTGCATTAAAATTATATTGAATTAATGTTAAACCAATATAGTATGTTTAAACTTACATTGGTTGTCTTTTAGTTCTTGTAAATTTCTTCATTTTTTTGGTAAAACGATTCGAGATTTAAAGAAAGTTCAATTTGTTCGCTTGTTGCTACGCTACGGCATTTAGGGTAGTAACAGGAGCTTTTTTAAAAAAACTGTTTCCGTTTTACAAAATTGTTTAAAATTAAGATTTTAAAATGAATATCATAAAGTGGAAATTGCACTTCGTGTCATGCAATTTTGGTCTGAAATCAAAACTTGTGATTACAAATCGCACCCCAGCTTCGCGGTCCTGTGATTTTGTAATCACGCGTTTGATTTCAGACCAAATTGCACTCCACTCAGAGCAATTACCATTATTAATTGTCACTACCTAGTACCTATATTATAATGACTATACTAGACTTGTTCAAACAACCTTGTGATAAGTCTGTTAACAACATCAAGTTTGTTACAAGTTGTTAACAGCTTGTTCCAAACTTGTTACAACAACTGCGAACAAGCAGTACAAACACAACTTGACGACAGCTTATGAACAGACTTGTAACAACTTGTTTGCAAACCTGTAACATGTTTTTCCTGAAACTAATTAAGCCGTACCAAATTGTATATATGAACTTTTTATCACTGCACGTTGCATGCATAAGCTATAGGGAATCTGCAAGACTAGATGTAATTATATATGGTATATATTGCCTAGTTTATAAAGTGCGAATAACCTTACATAAATTAATATCCTTCATTAAATAATTGTTGCATCGAGTTTGTAAACTGCTTTATGGTTCGAGAAAACAACTTACATAACTGATTTCGATTTTGACCTTTTTAAGATTCGTTTGAAATGACCAAAACAATTGATCGTTTAGATGCACAAGAGACATTGCGCTTAAATTGAAGAATTCTAAGAAATTATAGAAGTATTAGGTAATATCACTCAAAATTTATCATACCAATTCCAGTTTTTCATCATGGACAATTCGTTCAGTAATAACAGCCAATGAAGGAAATTGAAGTTCGGATAATTTCAGGATATCAGAAGACGATGCAGGGATAAATTCTTTGATAAAATAACCCGTACCCTATAGTCATAAATTAAGTATAGCCTAAATTACTTTTGAGTTCTTAAAATTAACAGTAATATAATAGTATTCCCAGGGTCGTCAGAACTACTGTACTACACGCGCACTCCATTTAATTAAAATTTGAAACTGTTTTTAAGCAATTTAAGTCAATTTGAATTTAAAAACGTCATAGAAACGTCATCAAGGTTTCCAATCAAAAGTAAGTCATGATTCGATTGAATAATGGTTGAAGGATTTTGTAGATGGAAATTAGCCTTTCTCACGCCGCCATTTTTGGGTCGCATTTCGGCCGAAATCTGCGAGAAAAGTCCACATAAAGGTAAGATTCCACGACGAGCGAAATGCGAAAAATTTCGCGCGAAAAGGTTGAACGCATGCGCAACATGATTTTGGAATGTTTCTGCAAAATATTTCTGTTCGCCGAGTAGTTGAATTCGTTTCTACTCCGTTGCGAAACGGAAATAGCGAAGCCAATCAAGTGCTTGTGTTGTGGACAAATCCCGTGCTCATCATTCATTTTGGGCGAATTTATTTGATAGTGACGAAATTATATAACATTTTAAAGTAAGTCATTATACATGTGTGACGTAGAAAGTTGGTTCTTCAAATCATACAAAATGAAATATCTCCGAAACGAAGCAAGAAAACAAAAATCTGTCAAAGAAGTTATCTGCAGTTTTCAATTATCTTTCAAACAAAACTAAAAAATAACACCGTCAATTTTCGAGTCATATGCCCTTTAAATCAAATATGTCATCCCATCAGACTATTGGTCAGCAGCTTGTGGTTCCAATAAATATTTGCAATAAAAAACATCTGCAAAATCTTGACACAGACACTCTTTGTTGCTGTTGAATAATTGCATGCATAATTGCGTTAATTTGCTAATATCTAAAGATGCTGCTAGGAATATTACAGTCCAATCTTAACGTCCTAGGAACAAGAAATAAGATCAATTTATCTAATGAGTAAGATCTATGATTTAAGCAAAATTAATTGAGAAAGATGGAAAATTGGTGTTGTATACATTGCAGAAACAAATTTCAAGTATAGGGTGCGGTATACATTGCAGAAATAAACTTTGTAAATCTTATACATTCATTAGACCTAACCAGATAGTAGTAGTCGCGAAAAATGCAACTATATTGGCCCTCTGGAGGGAATTAAACCTGCGGCCATACAATTCCGGTACACTGCTCTAACCACTTGAGCTACAGAGGCCAGTTTTCGAGGTCTAATTAATGGCAAGTTGATGTATATATAAAGCTATTTCGATTAAGGTTGTCCCCAGCAAAGCGGAAAAGTCGAATATATACGAGCGCGAAAGGCTTGCTAGGAATCGCTAAAAATTAATTTCATTGCTGGGGAACAACGTTAACCTTAATTAAAATAGCTGTAGTTAACAGTGATGTTTTCCAGGGGGGACGCGGGGGAACGCCGTTCCCCCACCTTTTTTACCAGGGGAACGGCGTTTCCGCTGCCAAAACCAAACATGGGGGAACGGTGTTCCCCCTGGCAGGGATTAAATATGAGCGAAATTCAGTGAACGCCGTTTGACACCGTCCAAATAATTTTGGCTATCACTTGTACAAACGTTGTACTACATACGTGTTATTTTTTTATACAATAACTGCTTCGCATCCTACGTAGAAATACTTCCGAACGTAACTTTCTCACTATTTTAATCTCCCTGAAACTTGATATACTTGCAGAAAATTCTAGCAGACTAGCACAAAAGAGTCTAATAATTCATGTCCGCATAGATAAGTACTTATTGTCACAAGCGCAGGCAGCAGCCCTGCAGGATATAATTACTCTATCGCGAAATAAGTCATTAAACATTAAAATGATCAATCGGAACATAAAATGATTCATGATCAATAAGAACATTAACATGATTAAATGGGAAAAATTCAAGGATATTTATTACCTAAACTTATTTAGTTACTCGCGTAAATGTCATATTTAACTTGCAAAGTTGCCGAGTTGCCAGCTTGCTGCATACTCAGTGCACACATAGCGCTAATTCCATAATCGAAATTCGAAAGTCAAGGTTTTATTTACTTTTTTGGCATCTACTGCGAGCAAGCTAGGTGTTTTTTAGGTATCATGTTCTACTAAATCCACCTTAAAGATTAAGCTATTGCGACAGCGCATGTGCTATTGCGACAGCGTGTTTACTATGCATGAGGCCATGCCCAATCGAGTGACCACGCCCATTTGATCTTCAAGAGCGTCCCCCCACTTCTACAATTAGCAAAACATCGCTCAGCTGTACATACTAAGGGGATGCCGATGTCAGGTGTATGAATAAACATCAGGATTCCAGGCACCTCATGCAGTTGACAGCGCCTATGGAGCGTTTGCATGTACTCATTTCCCAGGGACCAACTCGGTAAAAGCCATGGCAGCCATGTTGGTGTTCCAGACAAAAGAGTCTAATTAATATACTTTTGAATTGGAACGCCAACATGGCGGCTGTGACGTCATGTGCGAACGCTTTATAGTTATATTTTTCGCAACTGCTCCTGCATGGATAGTTCTAATAAATGTATAAAATGCTATATGCAATTCCAGCTATGGACTAAATTTTGATCAAGGCAAGAAGAACAAAATCCAACATTACAGCTAGACAGCGTTTCCGAGAATGAGTAAAATTGCAATGATTGGCTGCTAAATTTTGTAAAATGAGGAAAATATAGCTCTGTGAAGTTCTCAAATTTTGTATATATTTGTATTACGCGCGGTAAGAATAACCAGTTTTGAGCAGAAAGTGGTTATTTTTACCGCGCGTAATACAAATATATACAAAATTTGCGAACTTCACGGGGTCATATTTTCTTCATTTTACACCATATAGAAACCAATCATTGCAATTTTACTCATTCTAAGTCGCTCTTACTAGCTGTGTTATTGGATTCCGTTGTTCTTGTCTTGATCAAAATTTAGTCTATAGCCGGAATTATGGAAGTGAGATGCCCCAAATCCTGATATTTAGAATTATATATACCGGACAAAAATTATTTATTGAAAATCAAGACCTCATGCTGCGCAATTATAGTGTTGAATTTCAATGAAAACTATCCCTCTCGGTTTTTATCCTAAAAGCAACTCTTATCGCTACAGTGAATTGCGCGATATTAAAACTTACATCTTGCACATCCAATGGCGCAGCAATGTCAGACGCATTTAGACATTCTCCAACACAACTGTTTGCGATACAACCAGTTCTTGAGTTGATCGGTGGCTGTCGATTATAAAAAAGTAAACAAAAAATGTTTTCAAATGTCTGCAAATTAACATAAACTCAGACAATAAATCCGGTTTTCCACTAGGCGTAATTTTGCGCGCAGAGCGGAATTGCTCTTCGTCTTTTCTAGTTATATTAGTTTCACACGAGATATCACATGAAGACTCGCGAGAAATCGTCATATCTTGGTAGACTGTATGATAAATTAACGGCAATATTTTACGTAAACCAAGCATTTAGCACTTACGGTTTCGGATCGCGATAAACCGCCATATGTAATTCCAAAAAAGGATGGATCAGCATACTTTTCTGAATATACATTAAAAGAAAAGTCATACACGGAAATAAACAAATTCTGATCGATTTCTAAAAAGTCATTTTGTGAGATGATAAAAGCAAAATACATTATTTAAAAGCTAGCATGCCATTAGGTTTCGAAAAGCCATTTTGCGTGTCATAGAAAAAATTAATTGCCTAACTGAGAAGTAATATACAGACCGTTCGACCCGGCTTTTTGAGAGCGGTCGAGAGTGATTAAGAGTGAGCAAATTAAGTATTCAGTAAATGAGAGCGAGATAACTTAATATTCAGTAAATGAGAGTGAACTAACTTAATAGTAGTCATTAAAGATTAAGGCAGTACAAATTTGCATAACCAATAGAATTTCAATAGAAATAATAGGGATAATATTAGGAACCGTCACAAAACCAACCTGGGCAGTTTGGGCAAAACAGTCATTAAGAATGTACATGTCTCTGGCCTCCGCCCAAGCGAGTCAAAACATTCACTATGTTTAGGACTATCAAACCAGGAATAAAAAAAATCGAGACATATAGAGCTCGAGGGTAAATTTAATCAGACCGAACTTAGCATTTGCTAAGCAAAGGTTAACATGGTTGTAAACGCCGTTGTTATAGTCGATATTTTCACATTACAATGTCATTAAAAAGAGTTATTATATCAAATGTCACTTCCGGAGAAATGACGCACTGTGATTGGCTGAGAAGCACTTTCAGCGGTCCATTGTTTTCCCTTAACTTGCAAACTATAATTTATTTTGTTATTAGTAAGATATCTGTGAATGGGTTTTATCGGAAAAGGAATACGTTGGTGATTTTTGTTTTTTTCGATCAAATGTGTACCACGCCACTAATATGCATTTCAAATCATGTACTTCTTGTTTGTTTGAAGTATAAATATCTACAAGTACTAGTTTAGTTAAAACATGAGCAGTCGATCTTTATCTGATATGCTTAAAAAACGACCCATCGTATGAGTTCATTGGCGAAGTAATTTAAGAAATATACATTGTCTGAGCCGAGAAAATCAAAGCTGAAGTTTATGTAAATGAGGACAAATTGATTAAACATTCATTTCTTTTGAATTTTCTTCATGAATTATTGAGTTTTTTAAGAACTGATTAATAAACGAGCAACGAGCAGGAGTGTTTTATTAGGTTTAAATCCACGAGCGCGTAGTGCTCGTAGCGTCAGGAGAAGACTCCGCAAATCATAAATAATAGCACACGATAAACCCATTCTTTACAACTGAATTTGATAAGCGTGGTATTTAGAAATACTGACAGTGAATGCATGCTTCCCACTTCTTGTATACATTATTCGAATTATCGGAAACATATTGCTATAAAGTAGAGCAGCATGTTGATGCATTGTACATTAGTAACATCATAGTTGGAATAAACAAATTATAGCCTTATAAAACGACAGATATATATGCACTAAATGGAGAACAAATGGAATACAACTGTAAAACACTTTGTTGTGTTTTATAGCGCCCTGCTGCTGACGAGGCAGGATTTTCCCGTATTGCCCACAGGCAATACAAAATTCTTATTGTCCTGCGACGAGAGCCGAGTTTCAAACAGCAAAAAAGTGTCTAAAAGTCTTTCAAACTATTCAAAACGAAGAAAAATAAACCTAAAATAAAGAAAAGCAGCAACTGTTGCGTTTAAAGAACTTTCTCAATACGTTTTTGTTAGCGAAAGTCAAAATTACAAGGTAATTGAATTTTACAATGTTTATAACTATTAAAGCAATCAGGAATAGCTGTGTTTGGACTATGTGATGTGCTGCAAATTTTATTTGCAGATAGCCAGGAGGAACTTGACACCGGCCGAAATAAAAAATACAACTAAAACAGCCACAGATTTATAATTTTCGCCTGAGAAAATTTCTGTTTTTGTTATGATACAAAGAGACATAAATTCAATTCAATTCAATATTATTTCACTATTTACAGGATTTTTCTCAAGTAACGTAATATTACAAAAGTAGAAAAAAATAATAAAATTTTAACGAGTACTTTTAAAAAAAGGATTGTGAAAGGCAACCAGAGGGGCCGAAGCTTTCGAGCTGGTTGTCGCACAGCTGTTGTAAATACGAGATAAAGCAAACAAAAAACGTACTTGTCGATACTATTTATTAATTTTTTTGGTTTTATATTTGTTGTCTTTTAAAATTCATGTTTATGCCTTTCACACTTTGTTGCATGTTTCCAGTTAAAAGCGAAATACATCGCAAAATTAAAATATATTGTAAGACAGCAAAACTACATCTTTGCAAAATGAAAAACAATTTTTTAGCGAGCTTGTACTCGCGCATGCGCACAACGTCGAAAACCATCCGTCACAATGGAGGACAACTTTGCACTTCGCTATGTTAAATATCTGGGTGTAAATAGCCGGGCGTAATTGCTACCCTCAACCCGGGCTTACGCCCGGGACGACGCGCTTTGTGCCGTTGGCTCGGGAAAAAATATTGAATCATTGGTTTTTTTAAAGTTGTGTCAATATGAATATTGATGGTAGAAATATAAATATTTAAGCTAGGAATATGAATATGGATAGGAGTAGGAATAGGATATAAGTAGGAGTAGGAAATATGAGGATGGAATATTAAGTATTCATGGCAAATAGTCCTCTTCCATCCTCCAGGAATTAGTATTTGTGGATTTTGTTAACAAAAAATACTTACCTTCGTGAAAACCTATATCCAATAAGTTCTCTTTGAGGTCTAAAAATGATGGTCTGTGGTCTGCATCTACCATTGTTAATTGTATAAGCGTTTTAATTGACTCAGGAATATTCGGGTGAAGTTCGAGTCTGTCACCTTTAAGGACCTGATGGAAAAAAAGGAGAAAATTTTTAATTCTTTGTTCACGACGTAAACTAATGTGGAAGCAATTATTGACTGAGTCGAACATGATATGATGAATTATCAAACCCGATGTTTGTGTTATGAATGAAAGCAAATGGTAAAGTTAATAAAACAACCCAAATGCTTGGTAATTATTTTTGTTATGTAGCAAGCAGCGACTATGAGCTATTCTGCCATCTGCTTGGATCTCTACTAATAGGATATTAACTCTTAAAGTTATTCGGCTTTAATAGCAATATGATAAATGAAAAAGAATGAAAATATTCCCAACAATTGTATCATACAGCTAGCAAATAAATTCTTAATATTTCAACTATTTAAGTAAACTAATAAAATATTAATAAAAAATAATAAAAAAGTATAAATTAAGGTAGTGGCGTCAGAAGGGGCAAGAAGAATGTCGTGAAGTTTAGAGTTAGGTTAATTATGTACTATTTAAAAAACGAGCAGGAGTGTTTTATTAGGTTTAAAGCCACGAGCGCGCAGCGCGAGTGGCTTTAGACCTAATAAAACACGACCCGCGAGTTTTTTAAATGACTTCAAAAACGTATGCATAATAAGTCAAATCTTTATATAAAAATCTTTATATAAAAATCTTTATATAAAAATCTTTATATAAAAACCTTTATATAGTTTGCATAAGAATGGTCTTTTGTTAAAGTGTTCTTTAGCTGGTATAAAGACGTATGCACGTGACTAATTTCTTACTCAAGATTGGATAATTGCTTCATGAATTATTAATGAGTTTTTGAAGCTCAAATTAAATTCAATTAGATCAGCGTTAGAGGTTTGAGTTGGGGTTACATTAGCGTTAGGGGTTCAGCATGCGTCGGAAATTTATTGTGTTGATAAATTCGGACGTGTATTAAGAATTAAATTATTTACTTATAGAGGAAATTGAAGGATCGAAATCATGCTGCAGGGTTAGGGCAATTAAATTTGTTGATTGCTAAACTATAATTGTCAAATACTGCCAAATAGATGGCTCTGTAAATTATAGTTGTCTGTATAATAAAACAGTTGTTCTACTCACTCTCGTCATAGTCAACTGATAGCCAACTTGTTGCTATGTATCCCGTAAGCTAATTATGATTTATAGATTAGCAGCGAGGGGGTTTCGCCGAAATATTACACGAATTGATGATAATAGAGAAATATCATCACTGAGGGTAATGTTGATAAATTATTACGTCTTTAAACTTTATTTTTCCCCCAAACTTTTGAAACAATTTTTGAAAAATGTTATCATCAATATTCCAAACGATATGCGTTTTGAAATAAAAGTGACAAATATTGTCCGTTGTGCGCATCAGGTCTTCTCACAACAAAGGGGAGCCCGCAGATATAAACCTTGCCCAAATTTTGCATCTTTAGAACTATTTTAAATTGAAACGTTCAGTTTATATTAATTCACAAGTGTTAGATATCCAGTTAGTATATCATATTTTACAAATAGAGCAGTTCAAAATGCAAACAAAGCGTTTGTTTACATCACGGACTTTACATCTTTAATAAAAAAATGAAACATCATATTCCCGATTACCTTGCTAAAACTGAAATTTGTTGAGGTTTAACAACGTCCTAGTTTATGACAGGAAAACAGTAGTGTACATGTACTTACAAAGTCTCGCACTTCTTCGTCACTATCCAAAGAACGCCCACTCGGCATGTTCACGTATGGCTTGCAACCAAAGGTAAAAATCTCGGATAGCAATACGCCGTACGACCATACGTCAGATGCGGTGCTGAATTCACCAAACTGAATTGCTTCAACAGCCATCCAACGCGCAGAAAATTGATTGGAAGAATATTCAATTTTTGACGATTTCACAGAGTTGCGCTTCCATTGCACACCAGTTGGCGACTTCAAACCAGAATACGAAATAATTGCGAGGTGGAAGTCGCCGAGTTTGGTAAGCAAGTTTCCCTCATGCATAAAAACGAAGCAGTTATTTGCACACAAATCACGATGGATTATATTAAGCCCATCAAGATATATCATAGCATTGCAAATATCTAGTGCAATCTTGAGCATTACTTCAGCTTCAGGGGGGTTGGCCAGGCCTTGGAGGTACGTTAACAGACTACCTTTTGGTGTTCTCTCGATGATCATGTGCACAGGAGCATTGGTGCTTGAGCCAAGAAGTCGGACGACATTTGAACATGGTTCTGCGGCAGCATTCAAAACTTTGAGCATTTCAATTTCGTCTCGCAAAGGGACATTCTTTAGGGCTTCGGTTGCCACCACGTCTTCTTTGGAATGTTGATGCAGTTTCAGCAAACATTCCTTGCCATTCATAAGAGCATCAAAAGTATTAACCTGCTGTTGGTCTATGGAAACTGGTAATTCTGTTAAGATCTCCAATACTTTATCTCTATATGTTGCTGATAAATGAAAAATTGATAATTTCTCAATGAACTGTTTTTCATTACCTTCCGAGTTGTCCGTAATGAATTGCTTGAAATCACTTGATTTTGCAACAAATACAGCTCTCTCACATATTTTTTTCAGATTCATAAAGTAAAGTGGATTCTTGTTGGTCTTCGATTTATTTTCAATCCAGCTTTTAAGAACACCCCCACAGCCTTGTTCGCCCATCAAAACTTGTTCAATTATTGCTGGAAAATTAAGAGATATTGATATTATTATCTTAACTATTACTACGCACACTTGTCTTCCTATTGGCTAATAGATCGTTGGTTAAAATGGGGACCTCGAAAATTAAAAATACATTCTTAATTGTGCAAATATTTTCTATCTTTTGCATTTAAGGTCTTTTTTAATCCGTTAGCCAATTCTTACGTTTCCGAAACAAATTGGACCTCTGAAAGCTCAATATTCGAAGACTTCTTAAAAATCGAGAATATATCATAAATTATACGTGCATGCAGTAGCCTAGTTTTTGTATCTGCGCATAGCGCTAGACACTATGCTATCGAGTTTGTGTGTGGGTGCGTGCGTGCTTGTGTGCGTTAAACACTCAGGTCGACTAATTAGGGCTGTACGCCTGCGAACAGGCCGTAAAACAAAGATTGCGGCTTTCTACAGGGTGAAGAGAATTAGAGAAACTGTTTGTTTGACTTTGGCCGACTGCTAAATTGTCTGATAAAAAACTTTTTGTTATATCCTTGAAGATTGCACAAAGGAACATCGTAAAGCTTTTTCGTGAGTGACGTTCATGCTTTTTTATAAGTAATATCGATAGTCTGTTCATGATCATAATTATAATATGGTTATATGCCAATATGGGATGTTAACTTTTTGTTATATCGTACATTTATAATTACAGCATTTAGAATTACGTTACATTAAAATTTTGTTACATGCAGGTGCATTAGTCATTGGACATCTTAGAATTATAGGATTCCTTGATAAGTTGAGTTATAAAAGTTAATAAAATTTCTTTACAGATTAATTGCATGTATTTTAATTTTCATTTTAATAGAGCATACATGATACATTAAGACATCAATAAATGTGGGTACAGTATTTACCTCAGTAAATTTTGTACCCATTTCATATATAGCTCTTATTCTGTCTGTTTTTATCATAAAAAATGGTGGCTTTCTGACAGTTGATTGTAGTAGAGAAGAGACTGCAATCTGAACATTCTTTGTCATATCATACAAAGTGACAATACAGCCAGGTATATAGTAAATTGACGGCTATATAGTGACTATAGTTAAATATAAAAACTTTTGTTCGCGCTGGCTTTTACCGAGCTTGCTCTTAGCGTATACGGTAAAGGCGCTGCGTGCGGAAAGTGAAACACAGTCCGGGTCAGGTTATTTGTTGTTTTTTTAAACTTTTCCCCCCACCTGTTCTTACTTTCAAAGGGTCATGGTTAGCAGTTAGGTTTAGAGAAGGGTTTGGGGTTGGGAGCGATTTATCTCATAAAAGTTCAACTTTAAGTATAGTCACTATCATAGTTGCCAACCCTCTCGCATCCTGCTAGAGACTCCAGCGCAGCTTTGATTTGTCCGCATTGCCAATTTCTCCAAAAATTTTAAAGTATTCTCTTTCTTTCTATTTCTTTCCAATAAATCTTTCATCGTGTGTACCTTTGCACAATACTTCATGTGGACATTTGGACCTATTGGAACATCTTTGGACACATCTTGCCACACTATACTTGGATCCTATCATGTCCCTTTATATACCAAACTGTACCAAATATCTAGCTTATGCTATGTTAATGTTGGCACCCATATAAGAATATAATTTCAGCTAATTTAATATAAAATGTTTAAATCTGTTGCCTTGATCTTTTCATTTTCGCTTTTTCTGAAGCAAGTTTCTAGTCCGAGACATTCTAGGGACTTAACGTTTTTGGCACGGGGAATGGGGGTTGGGTATTCTCCGGTTTCGATCGGAGAAGAATCTCCAACAAAACCTTTCTCCAAAGTTGGCAACTATGCACTATATAGCTAGTCTCCGTCGCAGCCGCTCTTTGTGTTCAGTTTCTCCCCACGAGCGCCTGCTTGCTCGAGCTCAACATTCCTTTCCTAAAAACAACCAATCACAGTAATGCTTCTAAATTTTGAAAACATGACTTTGGACTTGTTAAGATATTTATGTCGCTAAATTTATTTAGATATTTATATCGCTAAGTATATCTGATTTACTAAAGTAAGACGAAGGGAATGGAATGTTGTGCTCGAGTGAGCTGCCACTCGTGGGGAGAAACATCGACACAAAAAGTGGCTGCGAAGGAGACTACTATATTGCCAGCAATTTACTTAATAGCCAGCTGCCGGCTGTATAGTCACTTTGAAATATAAATGTTTAATCAATAATTGTGAATGAAATTTTTTTCATAGCACGATGCAATTCCTTAGCGCAGGTACATGTACGCCTAGCGTACCTATTTTTATATATCCGAAGCACTGCTTTTCTAATTCACGTTAGCACTGCTTTTCTAATTCAAGAGAATTATCTCTTCTTATTATTCGCCCAGTCCTAAAGTTAATTCTATCGGCCTTAAATATATTCTTTACAACAAACTGCTGCTCAACTGTGGAAATGATAATTAAGGTGGCTCCATACACTTTCATCATCGGGGGACTGGTACCTAATCTTGAGTTTCGCGCGAAAATATTACAAATATATGCAAAAATAAATACAACTTTTTCAGTCTAAAATTCGAACCACAAGTCATGGTTATTTTGATGTTTCGAGCCTTTTTTGTTCTCATTTGTTCTCAAAGAACAAACTTCGTCCTGATTTAGCCCTGAACATTGAATAGCTAGTCTTTTTAGAAGACATTTTAAGGTAAAAAATGCAATGTTTAACGTTCAAACTCTTGTGAAAACCGGCGATCGGCCCGACCGGCGAAACGTTTTTTACTCCAATATTTGACGTTTTATATGTTCATATCAAAAAGTTCATACATGTCACACATATCTTATACCAAACGACACAATCACCTGTTTTCTTGGCGTTATCCCGAGTTAGCATGCAAAACTAAAGATATTTGCATTTCTAAGCAAGAAAACACAACATATATTTGATATTTCGACGAGACTAAAAACCTTTTTGTGCGTGTTTTTCTGGAGATGCGCCTGCGAAAACATGTACGCGCATGTCAATTCATTGATCTTGCAGAGCTCGAAAAACTTTCGGCCGAGCAAGTGAGATACCACAATAAAACGGTGTAATTCAAAATTTTGCACGGTGACATGTGATGAAATTTTGCACAACGATAACTTCTTTTAAAACAAATAGAATATCAAAATTTTAAAAAAATCTGTAGATTGGAAAACTTTAAATCCGCAATTTTTTATTCTGGCTATTCTAATCTACAGAATTTTTTTATTTTCAGGGATAAGATTCTTTATTATAAGTGAAAGCTATACAGCAGTTAAAAATTGGGGGTCACCGGCAATATTCGGAAAATAAAGAATAAAAACCTGCTTAAAATAGCAAAAAATACCATATTTGGCGAGGCTACTGTTACTATGAAAACAATATTATGTTCAAGAATATTGCAAATTTTTTCTACCAAATACTTAATTTATACTTGGGAATGCTTAAAATTAATAGATGGAGTAATACAAATTATAAATTGAAATTTTTACGCAATAAGGTATTTATACTACGGAACTGTATGGAGCCACCTTAATGGAAAACCGACTTAAGATGCCATGGGAGTTTGGCATCTCGGTGCACAATTATTTATGAAAGTTTGATGTTAATAGACAAATTTGACTAACGTTGTTTACATTGTTGCTGCCCAATCCACAACTTTAGATAACAGACATGCTAGGTACTATTGTTTCAGTTTACACAGGCATAGAATAGGACAAAGGTAACTAAACATTAGAGTTATGTATAAGAGTTATTCACTCATGTAGATAATTCTAAAGCTTAGTTGCCTTTGTTCTATTCTATGCTTCTGTATACTGGAACAATGATAATTAGGCGCGTGAAAAGTTGTGAATGGACCTTTCACCTTTTGACAAAAATTTAGATCTCAACAATTCTAGACAAAAATTTCATCACAGCTTGAATGAGCATCACAAAATTAGTAATATTCCAAAGTTTCATTGCGAAATGTTGTAAAATGCGGATAATATAGCCTTGCGAAGTTTGCCATTTTCAGTCATTTTGTATTACGCGCGGGAAATACATACCTCCTTCGGAAAAAGGGTATGTATTTCCCGTTTGTAATACAAAATGACTGAAAATTGCAAACTTCGCAAGGCTATATTATCCGCATTTTACAAGATTTCGCAACGAAACTTCGGAATATTACTAATTTTGAGATGCTCTTTCAAGCTGTGATAAAATTTTTGTCTAGACTTTTTGAAATCTAAATTTTAGTCAAAAGGTGAAAGGTCCATTGGGTATAAACAATGATGATGTAATGAAAGTTGATGAAATTTGACAGAATTAATGAGGTATTTTATATTATTCGCTGGAAGTGAATCAGACTTGGTGATATTTAATGAGAACGAATGTGAGTTGATAAAAAAATGTTACGAAAGTTTATGGGAACTGAAAAATCGATAATTCTAGGAATATCATGACCATGGCTTGCCACCACCTGAACGGGACTTCGGTAGACCGCCATACGACGATCCCCGGGACCATATAGTGGACTACCATCATGCTGAGCCTGCGTATGCAGACGATAGATATCCCCCTCCTAGAGAATACGACAGATACCCTGATGATGCGCACTATCTAGAAAGAGGAAGATACCCGGATGAAAGGCCTTATCCAGAAGAAGAGCGGTATCCTGATAGAGGGAGGTAATTATAAAGAACACAAGCATTTCTTGATTTGTAGAAGAAATTTAGGCTGGACGAACTATGGGATGTGTGCTAATCATCCTTACTTGCAGCTGAGAGCTAAGCTGAATTGCGAAGGACGCAGCTCAACGTGACTCATGTCTGATCACGAGCACAGCCGCGGTGTACATTCATAAATTATGTACAACTTGTGGTACAACACTGCCGTGTATGCTTTATACATTACCTGTGAACCAAATCATTAATTAAGACTTGTTTTTATGAAATGAAGGTACCCCGATGAAGCTAGATACCCGGAAGATGCAAGATACCCACAAGATGGAGGGTACCCAGATGATGGAAGATACCCGGATGATGGAAGATACCCGGATGATGGAAGATACCCGGATGAAGAGAGGCGACCAATCAGAGAGCGGTACGATGAGCCGTACTACGAACATGATCGGGTATATCATGATCCGGACACTGAGCATTTACGTCGACAACATGAACGTGACTTGTGGGAAAGAGATGTGGATCGAACGCTCGACAGTGATCCCTACTTATCAGAACGAGAATATCGAGATCGTGAAATGTATAGGAGAGAAGGTATGGTATGCCTTACGGCTAAAACACTGACGGAATGAAGGAAGTGACGGAAGTGTAACAATTGACGGAAGTGTAACAATTTTTCAACCATTGGTAGGCTAGAAATGAAATAAGTATTGCATAAAATTTAAGGCAAAAAAGTTTAAAGAACTGAGATTTCCAAATTCGTCTCTCCCCTCCCCCCCCCCCCCCCCCCCCCCCCCCCCCCCCCCCCC